ATCAATTGAAGCCATTGTGGTCTGGTCAGTTCTTTCCGTTTTGCCCAAAGGATTGTGTCCGCCTCCCTTTCAAAAAAGTCTGCCTTGGGGAGGGAAGGGGGCAGAGCACGAAGCACCGCCCACACGAGTTGTAGTCTTTCAGAGACTGGAAAAAATTTGTCAGCTTGTATATTTAGCAATGAATCTGCTGATAGGAACATCGCTGAAAGCTGTCCAATGGCTCCATCGAACAAGGACAACCATATCTACATGCACAAAAACGTATATTGCGATCAGCATCACATAGAGCCTTTGCGAAATGCCAAAAAGCAGGACTACATTTATTTTCAGATCTTGCCCCTCCCATCAATACACCGGAAGCCGTCATAGGTTGTATCATTCAGCGTGCGAAGCCCAGACCTGCCTTCCTCCTGGGCAATTATGTTTGAAACACATCTCACTGACCTAGAAATGCCTCGGACATGATGAAAAAAAGCCCAGATTCCCCCAGGGTGAAATTCCCCTTTAACAGTGACACATATTCAGAACAACACAACCTGGCTGTGATCACACCACCATCACCAAAACTGCCGATGCTATTTTAGCATTGACTATTAGTATTCATTTGAACGTTATGTAAATCTGAACATGTTGCATTTCCTGTATCTACACCTGCATCCATTTTTTGCACATTCAGCAACAACAATAACACCCAGAGTAGGTTACCTCCTTTAAATGTTGAGCATAATGTCAGGTGAAATAGTTTATGCGATCAACATACCATAACATAACATAACATAACATAACATAACATAAGAAAACATCAACAACACCAATCACGCTCTCTATCAAACCATAATACCATGCACTGAATTGTGGACATTGACACGATTATAGCAGGGTCTTGCGATTCTTCATAGCCAGGGTCAAGCCTTAATTATGGGCAAGGGAAGCCTGTCCTTGCACCCTTCCTCCAAAATTATTCTGGAGTCTCAGATAATTCAATTTTGGATGGGACTTTGATCAGCTCCAACCACACATTATAAATACACCCACTGTGCAGCTGCTAAGAATAGAAGCAATAATAAATGTCCTGCATTGTTCAAGGCTGCCGACGGGTATAAATAGAGAGTCTCAGATGTTCTTTGGGCATTGATAGCGGTGAGACCCTCTCCCCACGACATGTGTCCTGTCATATGGGAGCATGTGTCTCAGCCAACTTGGCACTTTCTCAACTTACTTACCCCACCAACAATATTACCTCACATTTTTTACAGGCTTCAGGGGTCACTTTTGTTTGTTTGTTTGTGTGAGCAAGCAGCACCATAGCCCTATTTTCTTGGACAGGTTTTCAAAGTCTTTGCGTCGTTGAGCTGCTATCCCTTGTCAGAGTTGACTGGTTGGTATGGGCAGCCAACTTTGTGTAGTTAATCAAAACAAACTTAAAAAAGTTATTCTACTGTAATAACCCCCCAGCCTCAATTTGTTGGTCATGGTCTCTACAAGGTGTTGAAAGTGTTCCACATGGATGCTGGCCTATGTTGACGCCAATGCTTCCCACAGTTGTGTCAAGTTGGCTGGATGTCCTTTGGTGGTGGACGATTCTTGATACACACAGGAAACTGTTGAGTGTTCTTGACACAAACCGGTGTGCTTGGCACCTACTACCATACCCTGTTCAAAGGCACTTAAATATTTTGTCTTGCCCATTCACCCTCTGAATGGCACACATACACAATCCACATCTCAATTGACTCAAGGCTTAAACATATTTGTTTTACCTGTCTCCTCCCCTTAATCTACACTGATTGAAGTGGATTTAACAAGTGACATCAATAAGGGATCTTAGCTTTCACCTGGTCAGTCTATGTCATGGAAAGAGCATACTGTTCATAATGTTTTGTACACTCAGTGTATATCCCAGAAGAATGTATACAGGCTATAATGAACAAGTATATGTCCATATAACCTAGATGTGCAAGCCACACATCACAATATCTTGAGTAGGGTATTGGTTCAGGGTCATATATGCAGAGACATGAGCCTTGTCATACTATTTCTACTAGGGAGAACCCAGGCACGGCTATTCTGGAGCAGGACATCACATGACTATAATTATCCATGATACATCCCTAAATGAGCAATTTGTCAAGAGCATTTCCAATGAACATGTATCACAGACAGGCTAATTGAAGGCACCTGTGGCCATAACCGCATATAATAGGCTATTGTAATATTATGCATTACTATTGTAATATCATAGCCTAGCTGCATAATATGAATCACTATACATCAGTTTCCCCTGAAAAAACAATACCATGCATAATTATTAAACAATTCAATTGCACACAACTACTAGTTATTATGACTGCATTTTCTGCATAAATAGGCGGAGAAGAACGCATTAAAGACGGCAGGGGGCAACGAAACAGGATGAACGAATTTCTAATCTGAGAATGTTGTCGTCACAGTCTACGCTTGCTTCGCTCTTGCTCGTAGCGGCCTTTTGATTGGTTGCCAGTGACATCACCCTACTCTCATACATGGGACTCTGAGAATTGTTCATTCGACAGCTTTAGGATGAATCTCAATTATATTCTACTCGCGTCCTGTCTCCTCCCGCCTCGCCTCCTTCTCAAAATCCATTGGATGAGAAAGCCAGATGTCCCACCCCTCTGATTTTCTCCTCCAATGGGTTTTGAGAAGGAGGCGAGGAGAGCGGAGAGAGGACACGAGGATAAATAATTGAGATTCACCCGTAGTCGATTTTTAAGACCCGCCGCCGAACACACGCTACGCGGTTGGCTCTCGCTACGCTCTCACTGTACAAAACGAATTAATGTAATATTAATGAAGTCGTTTATTGGCTCATACACGCGCCAATCCTAAAGTGCTACTTCTTTAGGTTGGCTGAACCCCTTGTATATTATTACTGGGGACCAGGCTAAAAGTAAAAATGTTGCGGATCCACGGCACTGGGAAAGGCTGAATGGAGTCAACATTGAGCGCAAATAAAATCCGTCTACATTCAACCGGAGCACACCAAATATTGTCTTACAAAAATGTAAGTAAACTTTTTTAATTCCTTTATTAGGCGACACTTCACGGTGTATATAGCTTACAAGTTGTATAGAAATGACCACCACGCTGACGTTATCAACATGAACAGACCATACTCAGCAATTTCAAGTCATAACAGTGCTAAATATGAACGATTTCAGATATTGGGAATTTCACATGAAACTATAGGCTATTTGATGTCTTACCATGACATGATCCTTTATATCGTTGTATGAACTAATTTCCTTCATGTAAACCTCTGACAGATGATAAACTGCTCTTCAATATCACTGTTAACAAATATCTCTGTTACCGGCTACAATGTTGCCAAAATTATCCATACTAAACTATCACTACAAATGATACAATGTTTCACTATATGAGATACATTTATGCAGTCCAACCGCGGCGTCTTTGAATTGAAGTTACATTTTTAATCTAATCAAACCGTGTCTGTACCGCCGAAGCCCTCCATACTTTTATTCTCAGCACGTCCTCATGCCGGTCTCTTCAATTAATGTACACCCTGTGATTTATTTTTTCCTTACCAGCCAGTTGAAACAGCTGGACACTAAATGCACTGGCCAGACGGCGCGACCATGAGCGTCTTTTGATGTGAAGACATGGCTTATTACATCGTTATTATTACAACGTTTGATGAAATTTAAGCAGCCTCTCGCGCACCCCATGACTGTCCCAGATGTGATTTGGAGGGAGAGCCCAAACTGCGGCGCAGCTCTACTACAGGTTGATGCAGTATTCCAGTCTTTTTGTCACACGAAATTCATAGGTTTATTGCACTGCAATGTGAAATTGACAGTAGCCTAGCTGCCTAGTCCAGACATTTGCTCTGTGAATTTCAATCCCCATGTGACCTGCACATATTTGTGAGGATTATATTATTTGCTCACAATATTCTCCACATATATCATACAGTCTAGGGTTTATATCCACACTCACTAAATGGTCAGGAGGCTCTCTGTTTTACCTGCTTATTCCCATGACTGTGGAAGTTGCCCTGCAGATGTTTACATAGCAGATATTTGATGACTGTGTAGCTGTTTAGTACTATGCATGTTTGATTAAACATATACTTATGCATGCTATTTTCTCATTCACTGACCCCAGAGTCAGTGGCATTGGTCATCAACAAACCTCCATGTTATTCGATAGATGCTGTGGTTATTATTGATTCTGCACACGTCATAGTAGTCTATAGTAGAGGTCTTCTCGGGTCCAAAAAGTTGGACCCGGACCTGAACGGACCCGAGGACAATCAGACCCAGACCCGAATGGACCCAATCATTTAAGAAAAGGGGGAACCGGACCTGAATGGACCCGAGAACAATCAGACCCGAACCCAAATGGACCCTGCAACAACTATATCAGACCCGATTGGACCCTAATGGGAAAATCCCCCCAGAATAGGTCTTTATATGTTGGCTAGGCCTTCTATAAGTGAACAAATTCACCTTATTACTGTCAAATACATATGCTATAGGCTATGCAGAGCCGTGGCCGGGTCCACTCGGGTCTATCAATTGCAGTTACATAGACCCGAGACCCGATGACAATCAAACAGGACCCGAGCCGAACCTGAGGGAAAAGTTAGAATTTTGGATCCGGGCCCGCTCGGGTCCTGGGTCTGGGCTCGGGTATTCGGGTTAGGGTGGACCCATGAAGACCTATAAGTCTATAGTGGAGTCCGTTGGTGCACTCACAATCTTGATCTAGGCCCGTATTCATAAAGCGTCTCAGAGTGCTGGTCTAGGTTCAAACCCCAATGTCAATGTAATCTTATTTATTATGATCTAAAAGGCAAAACGGATCCTAGATCAGCAGTCCTACTTTGAAACGCTTTATGCATACAGGCCCTGACCTTTTGTTTCTTCTGTCAATCTTTCCCCATGTAGACTGGCTTCTTGTAGTTCTCCGTAGACGTCCCGACCCTCAGCCTCCCCATGCCTCCATCTCCCCTTGACGACAGAATTGTGGTGGCGCTGCCAAGGCCGATCCGACCTCAGGAACTCCGACTGTGCCTGGACACCAGCTACCTGGACACCACCGTCACCAGCCCCGGCAGCAAGACGACGGTCATCAGCACCACGGTGGTGAAGATCCGGGCGACCAACCTCACGTATATGCCCTCATCCAACGGCTCCACGCGCTCCCTGTCGTGTGGATGCAGCAGTACCAGCTGCTGCTCGGTCACCACCTACGAGAAGGACAGCCAGCACAACCAGCGCCACCAGCAGAGCCACGTGAGCCAGGTTAGTGCCAGCAGCCCCAACCTCAGCTATGCTGGACCCGCCTCTTCCTCCTCCAACCCAATGGGCATGGTCCACCATGAGGCCTTTAGCGACCCCAGTCTCACCTCTGTGCCACCCAAGGCTCTAGGGTCCACCGTGCGGGTCATCCACCCCAATGAGCTGGCCAAGCGGATGGCCAGGTGCCCCATGGGCCACCCGGTCGGGCCAGTCCCGGTCATCATTGATTGCCGACCGTTCATGGAGTACAATAAGAGCCACATCCAGGGCGCAGTGCACATCAACTGTTCGGACAAGATCAGCCGGCGGCGGCTGCAGCAGGGCAAGATCACAGTGCTGGACCTCCTGTCGTGCCGCGAGTCTTCCGGCAAGGACTCCTTCAAAAGCATCTTCTCCAAAGAGATTGTGGTGTACGACGAGAACACCATGGATCCCCAGAGGGTGACCTCCTCGCAGCCCCTCCATGTGGTCCTGGATTCGCTGAGGAGGGAGGGCAAGGACCCCATCGTTCTCAAAGGTAGGACGAAGTTCAGTGCTCATATTCACAAAGTGTCTCAGAAAAGGAAGTGTAGGAGTGCTGATCTAGGATCAGTTTTGCCTTTCAGATCATAATCTTGAGGTTCTCCGGAGGTTGTGTCGAAGCTTCAAAGAGTCAAAGTAGAAACACCAGGGATGTTAAATGGAATGGTTGACGGATGAGGGAAGAGGATGAGGTCTTTCATATAAAAAGCCTACAGGACTGTTTTAATTTTATAATTTTTTTTAGCTTTGGTTTGTCTCTGAGAGGATGAGAGAGATTGGTTTACATAGCTGTAAGTTGGTCCGTCCAAGTCCTTTTCCAGAGGCTAGTCTTTATGCTTCTGTTGTGAAGGAGATAGAAGTTTAGATGGCAATAGGCAATGAAGTTGGTCGAGGTGCAATGGTGATATTTGCTATTGAATGTATGTCCCTGATGAATAGGCTCATGTTAGGTGTAAAGTAGATGTAAGGACTTTGTCTTGTCTCCATTGTGTGTAAGCCTCTTACACTGTAACTCACACTGTCATTTACTGTGGACTACCCATATAAACCACAGTATGAAGCCCTAAGCTGACACTTCACACACGCACGCACGCACGCACCACACGCACACACACACACACACACACACACACACACACACACACACACACACACACACACACACACAGAGAGAACTTAATTCGGCAGGCAGCTCTAGTCCTGCCAGGGTATGTAACATGCTTTGGCTGTTGTGCAGAGACTAGGAGGCAGCTGTTAGTAAATACTGAGCCCTGTTGAGGCAGCAGCCTCTGGGTTAGTGCCATGTTTTCTATCTTCGGTTTGTGTGTGTCTGTGTGTGAGTGTTTGTGTGTGTGCAGAGCTGGAGCAGCAGCAGGCTGTGTTCTGGGTTGGGGGCTGGGACATGTGTGTCTGCCGTCTTGCAGGGAGATCATACTGTAGCACCTTGATGCCATCCCATCCTCCCACGGCTCTACTGTCCTCCCTCCTCTCCTCTCGACTTGATGGCTTCCTCCATTCCTTCCCCCTTCCTTCCTCCCTCGCCCTCCCTCTGCGTCCGTCTCTGTCTGCGGCGGTGGGGAAACGGGGAGCGGGCTACAGCCGAGCAGAATGTCTTGGTCTTTTTTTCTGATTTAATTCCCCTGAAAAGCAGGCATCTGCTGCTGCAGGAATCCAACGACTCAGCCTCAGCCCTGAGCTCCATCGACCCTGTATCTCCTGATATGTATGACTCTGTCTCGGCCGGTCTCAACCCCCACTACCGTACAGCAGAGAACACTGTGTGTGTGTCCGTGTGTGTGTGTGTGTGTGTGTGTGTGTGTGAAGGAACAGTGGTCATGTGGGTTTCCCAGCGTCAGTGTAATTTATAACCAGACATGATTAATTCTAATATTGATCATGGAGGGTCTTAGTGGTGAATGGGATGAATTGGATCCTGTAGAAGAGAGGCCTCTAACCATAGACATAGGATGCGTCCCAAATGGCACCATATTCCATATATACTGGAATAGGGTGCCATTTGGGATGCAGTCCTAGTCTTTTTAGAGCCTTGAAAAATAAAAGGAACATGTTATTTTCTTCATCTTCTTTCATTCCTCTTCATTCCTCTTTTTTTTTTTTTTTTTTTTTTTTTAACTTTAGTCAAGTTTTGTTGGATCGAGAACTTGTGGGCATTTTTAATCAGTTATGACCCTGCAATCAAAAGCCAGAAATACACTACATGGCCAAAAGTATGTGGATACCCCTTCAAATTTGTGGATTCGGCTATTTCAGCCACACCCGTTGCTGACAGATGTATAAAATCGAGCACACAGCCATGCAATCTCCATAGACAAACATTGGCAGTAGAATGGCCTGTACTGAATAGCTCAGTGACTTTCAACGTGGCACTGTCATAGGATGCCACCTTTCCAACAAGTAAATTCTTCAAATTTCTGCCGTGATAGAGCTGCCCCGGTCAACTGTAAGTGTTGTTATTGTGAAGTGGAAACGTCTAGGAGCAACAACAGTTCATCCACAGGCCACACATGCATACAAACACACGATAACATATGCACTATACACACATGTACACATGGATTTTGTGTTATAGATATGTGGGAGAAGAGTAGAGGCCTGAGGGCACACACTTAATAGGTTGTGAAATCTGTTATGAATGTATTGTAATATTTTTCAAATGTATAATTAATTTTGCTGGACCCCAGGAAGAGTAGCTGCTGCCTTGGCAGCAGCTAATGGGGATCCATAATAAATACAAATACAAATACACAAGCTCACAGATTGGGACTGCTGAGTGCTGAAGTGTGTAGCGCGTATAAATGGTCTGTCCTCGGTTGCAACACTCACTACTGATTTCCAAACTGCCTCTGGAAGCAACGTCAGCACAATAACTGTTCGTCTGGAGCTTCATGAAATGGGTTTCCATGGCCGAGCAGCCGCACACAAGCCTAAGATCACCATGCGCAATGCCAAGCGTCAGCTGGAGGGGTGTAAAGCTCACCGCTATTGGACTCTGGAGTAGTGGAAACGCGTTCTCTGGAGTGATGAATCATGCTTCACCATCTGGCAGTCTGACAGACGAATCTGACCTGCCCCAATACATAGTGCCAACTGTAAAGTTTGGTGGAGGAGGAATAATGGTTTTTCATGGTTCGGGCTAGACCCCTTAGATCCAGTGAAGGGAAATCTTTACGCTACAGCATACAATGACATTCTAGACAATTCTGTGCTTCCAACTTTGTGGGGAAGGCCCTTTCCTGTTTCAGCATGACAATGCCCATGTGCACAAAGCGAGGTCGATACAGAAATGGTTTGTCGAAATCAGTGTGGAAGAACTTGACTGGCCTGCACAGAGCCCTGACCTCAACCACATCGAACACCTTTGGGATGAATCGCCCAACATCAGTGCCCGACCTCACGAATGCTCTTGTGGCTGAATGGAAGCAAGTCCCCGCAGCAATGTTCCAATATCTAGTGGAAACCTTCCCAGAAGAGTGGAGGCTGTTATAGCAACAAAGGGGGGACCAACTCCATATCATTGCCCATGAGTTTGGAATTGAGATGTTCGACGAGTAGGTTTCCACATACTTTTGGCCGTGTAGTGTACATAGGACTATGAAACAAATGCGATTGATATTTTTGACTTATAGTACTTTTTGGATTTCCTGAGAATTGTTCGTGAATTTTACAAATGGTATTTAATTTACCCTTAAGGAGGGATACCAAATGTTAGTTGCGATTTACTCATACATTAATGACATGTGAAAAACTGTTTTTGGATGCATCCCAAATGACATTCTATTCCCTAGCTACTTATTGCACTACTTTTGACCAGGGCCCATAGGGCTCTGTTCAAGAATCAAAAGTAGTTTACTACATAGGGAATAGGGTGTCATTTGGGACACAACCTCAGTCTCCGGTTTAATCATTGGTCTTTCTCCAGAAGAATAAGTAATGAAAGGCATATATCAATATGGTTGTTGGAACTTGGATGGCATATTTTGATGCAGAAAACAGCAACATTTCTAGTCCTGACTGACTAGTGACCCAGACCTAAATGTAGTAATGAGTTGTATACAGTGGGGAAAAAAAGTATTTAGTCAGCCACCAATTGTGCAAGTTCTCCCACTTAAAAAGATGAGAGAGGCCTGTAATTTTCATCATAGGTACACGTCAAATATGACAGACAAATTGAGAATTTTTTTCCCAGAAAATCACATTGTAGGATTTTTAATGAATTATTTGCAAATTATGGTGGAAAATAAGTATTTGGTCACCTACAAACAAGCAACATTTCTGGCTCTCACAGACCTGTAACTTCTTCTTTAAGAGGCTCCTCTGTCCTCCACTTGTTACCTGTATTAATGGCACCTGTTTGAACTTGTTATCAGTATAAAAGACACCTGTCCACAACCTCAAACAGTCACACTCCAAACTCCACTATGGCCAAGACCAAAGAGCTGTCAAAGGACACCAGAAACAAAATTGTAGACCTGCACCAGACTGGGAAGACTGAATCTGCAATAGGTAAGCAGCTTGGTTTGAAGAAATCAACTGTGGGAGCAATTATTAGGAAATGGAAGACATACAAGACCACTGATAATCTCCCTCGATCTGGGGCTCCACGCAAGATCTCACCCCGTGAGGTCAAAATGATCACAAGAACGGTGAGCAAAAATCCCAGAACCACACGGGGGGACCTAGTGAATGACCTGCAGAGAGCTGGGACCAAAGTAACAAAGCCTACCATCAGTAACACACTACGCCGCCAGGGACTCAAATCCTGCAGTGCCAGACGTGTCCCCCTGCTTAAGCCAGTACATGTCCAGGCCCGTCTGAAGTTTGCTAGAGTGCATTTGGATGATCCATAAGAGGATTGGGAGAATGTCATATGGTCAGATGAAACCAAAATATAACTTTTTGGTAAAAACTAAACTCGTCGTGTTTGGAGGACAAAGAATGCTGAGTTGCATCCAAAGAACACCATACCTACTGTGAAACATGGGGGTGGAAACATCATGCTTTGTGGCTGTTTTTCTGCAAAGGGACCAGGACGACTGATCCGTGTAAAGGAAAGAATGAATGGGGCCATGTATCGTGAGATTTTGAGTGAAAACCTCCTTCCATCAGCAAGGGCATTGAAGATGAAACGTGGCTGGGTCTTTCAGCATGACAATGATCCCAAACACACCACCCGGGCAACGAAGGAGTGGCTTCGTAAGAAGCATTTCAAGGTCCTGGAGTGGCCTAGCCAGTCTCCAGATCTCAACCCCATAGAAAATATTTGGAGGGAGTTGAAAGTCTGTGTTGCCCAGCAACAGCCCCAAAACATCACTGCTCTAGAGGAGATCTGCATGGAGGAATGGGCCAAAATACCAGCAACAGTGTGTGAAAACCTTGTGAAGACTTACAGAAAACGTTTGACCTGTGTCATTGCCAACAAAGGGTATATAACAAAGTATTGAGAAACTTTTGTTATTGACCAAATACTTATTTTCCACCATAATTTGCAAATAAATTCATTAAAAATCCTACAATGTGATTTTCTGGAATTTTTTTCCTTATTTTGTTTGTCATAGTTGACGTGTACCTATGATGAAAATTACAGGCCTCTCTCATCTTTTTAAGTGGGAGAACTTGCACAATTGGTGGCTGACTAAATACTTTTTTCCCCCACTGTAGCTGTCAAACGTGTCGTAAGCAAACATCATTATTGATTTATGACTGTGGACCTTACAGTTGATGGATAGCACTGGAAAGTGGAAACTGTGAGAAGCCCTCAGAGCTTCAGAGAAGTGGTAATTTATGATTGAGGAACTGTGCTGGCGGCTTCTAAAAGTGAGAGACACTTGAAGGTACTTTCTTCCATGAGATTGTCGAAAGACACTTCACAGATCTCATCTCTCTCCACAATGTGCCAGAAAATTCTTCTGCCTTTCGTTCTCACTCTCACCTCTCAAAATAAGCTATTTACCAATTGAGCGCATCTTCACAAGAAAGGCGCCGCTTGAATATGTGCAATAGAAGAGAAGTTAAATTTTTTCAAAGATGATTTTGGTTGAACAGTTGGATTTGTTAGTTTGTTGAAAAATCCAGAAAGAGAAAGATATTTAATGCATCATTAGAGAATCTCGCCACACACACACACACACACACCTAGTAATGTCATAACAAGGTTGTGGTGGTCACTATGATTTATTCAACTGTAGTAATCTTCAACGCCTTTAGGACTCGTGTGAAGAGACTCTCATTGCATTATTTACTGTTGTGTAATTATTATAACAACATCCCCCTCAGAGCGAGCGTGAGAGATTATTAAAAAAACGTTACTGGAGAAACATACCAGTTTAATTTGTTTGTTTAGTGTGGCCCTATCAGTTGGACTTGTTTTATGACCCTTTATGATAGACAACTGTCAGAAACAGCGACAGTGAAATGCGGTAGGCGAAGTCACACGCAGGACACGGAGCTACTGGAAATCGTACTTTAATATAAGTCGCCAGTGAAATGATCAGTCTCCAAACAACGGAGAAAACTAACAACCGGTACACTGTCGATGACACAAAACAATAACACACAACACACAATGCACGACAGAGGGTTAAATAGGGAATACAATACAACATAATGGGGAACAGGTGTACACAATCAGACACAACAAGTCAAACACCGAAACATAGATTGGTGGCAGCTAGTACTCCGGGGACGACGAACGCCGAAGCCTGCCCGATTAGGGAGGAGGAGCAGCCTCGGCTGAATCCGTGACAACAACACCCTCCCTAGTTGACAGTTGATAGGAGATCAACACCCCCCCCCCCCCCCCCCCACACACACTTTGGTGCGAAAAGTACAAATACATTCCAGAACAACAGCAAAGGACCTTGTGAAGATGCTGGAGGAAACAGGTTCAAAATGATCTATATCCACAGTAAAATGAGTACTATATCGACATAACCTGAAAGGCCGCTCAGCAAGGAAGAAGCCACTGCTCCAAAACCTCCATAAAAAAGCCAGACTACAGTTTGCAACTGCACAAATGGGGACAAAGATCGTACCTTTTGGAGAAATGTCCTCTGGTCTGATGAAAGGAAAATATAACTGTTTGGCCATAATGACCATCGTTATGTTTGGAGGAAAAATGGGGTTGCTTGCAAGCTGAAGAACACCATCCCAACCGTGAAGCATGGGGGTGGCAGCATCATGCTGTGTGGGTGCTTTGCTGCAGAAGGGACTGGTGCACTTCATAAAATAGATGGCATCATGAGGAAGGAAATGTATGTGGATATATTGACGCAACATCTCCAGACATCAGTCAGGAAGTTAAAGCTTGGTCGCAAATGGGTCTTCCAAATGGACAATGACCCCAAGCATACTTCCAAAGTTGTGGCAAAAGGGTTTAAGGACAACAAAGTCAAGATATTGGAGTGGCCATCACAAAGACTTCAATCCTATAGAAAATGTGTGGGTAGAACTGAAAAAGCTTGTGCGAGCAACGATGCCTATAACCCTGACTCAGTTACACCAACTCTGTCAGGAGGAATGGGTAAAAATTCACCCAACTTATTGTGGGAAGCTTGTGGAAGGCTACCTGAAACGTTTGACCCAAGTTAAACAATTTAAAGGCAATGCTACCAAATACTAATTGAGTGTATGTAAACTTCTGACCCACTGGGAATGTGATGAAAGAAATAAAAGCTGAAATAAATCATTCTTTCTACTATTATTCTGACATTTCATATTCTTAAAATAAAAATCCTAACTGACCTAAGACAGGGAATTTTTACTAGGATTAAATGTCAGGAATTGTGAAAAACTAAGTTTAAATGTATTTGGCTAAGTTGTATGTAAACTTCCGACTTCAACTGTAGATACATCAATTGGATGGACATGGAATTTTTTTGATAGTTTAACACAGTAATATTTCCCTCCAATAGACACGTAGCAGACGTGTTCCTGTCAAACCTCCCCAACTGACCGTAGTAACCTGCCATTATACCTGCAGGCATTACGTTTATTGTCACATTTAAGTGTATTTGTGTTTCGCTGACTCATCCTGTTGTTGTCTGTTCTTTACCCAGGGGGCCTCAGCTCCTTTAGACAGAACCATCAGAGTCTGTGTGACCACTCCCTCCACCTCCACGAGAGCCTGGATGCCGGCATGGGCGTCAGTGGGGCCTCCGGCCACACGGGGGCGCTACCTCACTCCATGTCCCTGCCCTCCACGCCGGACATCGAGAATGCCGACCTGACGCCAATCCTGCCCTTCCTCTACCTGGGCAATGAGCACGACGCGCAGGATGCCCACACGCTGAAGCGCTACAACATCGGCTTCGTGCTTAACGTTACCACCCACCTGCCGCTCTACCATTACGACACGGGCCTCTTCAGCTACAAGCGGCTGCCCGCCACCGACAGCAACAAGCAGAACCTGCGGCAGTACTTTGAGGAGGCGTTTGAATTCATCGGTATGTGGGAAATTTCTCTAAGTCTAGTCAGTGCATGGCGGCTTGCCCCACATGAAAAAGTACTATAGTGTATACTATGGTAGGAATACTATAGTATTCACTGTACTGTTTTTGCGGACATTTCTGTAGTATTTACTATAGTATTCTATACTACAACATTCTATACTAAATACTACATATGATTGAGGGATACTACAGTGGCTGTATAGTATTCTACAGTATACTATAGTTTACTGTAGTATTCTATAGTAAACTGTAGTATTTTTATGTGGGTGTACAGTAGAAGTGTACACTGAGTGTACAACACATTAGGAACACCTTCCTAATATTGAGTTGCTCCCCCTTTTGCCCTCAGAACAGCCTCAATTCGTCGGGGCATGGACTCTACAAGGTGTCGAAAGCGTTCCACAGGGAGGCTGGCTCATGTTGACTCCAATGCTTCCCACAGTTGTGTCAAGTTGTGTAGCCTCCTGTAGCTCAGTTGGTAGAGCATGGCGCTTGCAACGCCAAGGTTGTGGGTTCGATTCCCACGGGTGGCCAGTATGAAAAATGTATGCACTCACTAACTGTAAGTCACTCTGGATAAGAGTGTCTGCTAAATGACTCAAATGTAAGTTGGATGGATGTCCTTTGGGTGGTGGAACATTCTTGACACATACGGGAAACTGTTGAGCGTGAAAAACCCAGTATCGTTGCAGTTCTTGACACTCAAACCGGTGCGCCTGGCACCTACTACCATACCCCGTTCAAAGGCACTTAAATATCTTGTCTTGCCCATTCACCCTCTGAATGGCACACATACTCAATTGTCTCAAGGCTTAAAAATCCTTCTTTAACCTGTCTCCTACCCTTCATATACACTTATTGAAGTGGATTTAACAAGTGACATCAATAAGGGATCATAGCTTTCACCTGGATTCACCTGGTCAGTCGAGGTCATGGAAAGAGCATAATGCATTGTACACTCAGTGAATAGGGCAGAGCAGGGCGGGGATTGCAGTTGGTGGCAGGATCTCATTGAATCGATTCAGGCCATATTATGATCGGAGTTAGTCAGTGATTTAGCTTGGTTGATACATGTTCAAATGGCTTGTTTTTATCGATCAGAGGCTGTGTAGGTTGTCTGACTTTTTAATTATGGATTTGTTAGCTCTACAGTTAGTATAAAGTATGCACAGTGTAGGTTTTGAGTGAGTGGACTGCAGGGAAAAATATGACACATTAGTTACATAACTAAAACATTAATGTGATGTTGTCGAAGTCTACTGCATGTTTTATGTTGCTATGATGAGTTCTATTCTAAAGAAACTAAAATGATTATCTTTTGCTGTTGAAGTCTATTTTGTACAATGTTTCATGTGCTTTAGCACTAAAACGCTCCTAAAACTCTCCTCTCTTTCCTTTCTTCAGAGGAAGCACAGCAAGCGGGCATGGGCCTCTTGATCCACTGCCAGGCGGGCGTGTCTCGCTCGGCCACCATCGTCATCGCCTACCTGATGAAGCACACCTGGATGACCATGACAGACGCCTACAAGTTCGTCAAGACCCGGCGGCCAATCATCTCGCCCAACCTCAACTTCATGGGCCAGCTGCTTGAGTTCGAGGAGGACTTGAACAACGGTGTCACGCCGCGCATCCTCACGCCAAAGCTCATCGGGGTGGAGACCATGGTTTAGGAGGACACCGCCATTCCTGCTTTAGGAGGACATCCCACAGGCTACTCTTAACAGGCCGATTCTGAGAGAGAAATCTTTATTTCAGAATCATGCTCTTTTGGGACTGTCACAGGAGTGCCAAAGTTCTGGGTCACCGGTGATGAGATACGCCAAAAAATCCCAGCTGTTCCGAACTGGCCGGCTTCCCGGAGGAACAGAAGTGTTGGGGGAGAGAAAATGGTCAGTTGGAAGCTGTCCGTGCATGACAACGGAGGAGCAAAAACATGGAAGGAAAGGAAAATAGATTAACTATTTAGAGAGAAAAAAACACCATGTTCTGTGGGGACTTAGCAGTTTAGCAGTTAGAGAAACTGAACTCTTCAGGCTCACACTATGCTGTGGCTCACGGTTAATGTTGCAGGCAGGCTGGGGCTGAGCTGGCCGAGGCGGTGCCTGTCAGAAAAGATGAAGACTTGTTTGGTGTGTTGATGTTCTTGTTCTATTTTTATATAGGGGTTTATGGAAGTGACCATGACAAGCCCAAAGTGGCTTACTGTGCAATAATTTCTGAGTGGAAATGCGCCTGGGAGCTCGATCTTATGTGTATATATGGGTATTCAATGACGATAAAACATTTCCAGCTCGCCGCTGATTTGACATGAAGTAACCTTTTTTTTTGTGTTAATTGTTGTTGTTATCGATTCCGTATTTTTTGGCACATACAATTGAGCTGTTACGTTTGGCACAAATTAGATAGACAAATTATTATTTTTTTTCCCGGTGTCTCAGTTGTCTGTGTATATTTGTTTCATTCTTTTGACTCTTCAAAAATACTATACATGAAAATATTCACGTTGTCTGTGTTTTTTGTTTTCTAACTGTTTTTCCATCGACCATCACCATACCATTTGTTTTTAGTAATACATTTACTGCCATAAAGAGCTTTGTACCACAAGTTTACTGAAAGCAGATATATTGCTCCTCAAACAAAGTGGTGGTTATCCTGTTTTAAGTATTATTTCAGTTGTAAAATAGATTTGAGGACTATTCACTGTTTCTTTTGAAATAATTGACCCTCGCTTCTAACTTGTCCCTCTTTTAATGTAGTGTCTAACCTCTCTAGATATATTTTGGTATAGTTCCCCTTATAGTGTCTGTTATTACATTTACCCTGTCTCTGAGTGTGACCGAGTATGATTTACCACATTACAAAGTAACACAGTTCTGAGATGACCGTGAATTGGGCCTCTGGCATCAAACGAGACATTGTATCAAGGGTCATGGTTAAAAGTCATAACTGCCATAGAAGCAAGGTACTGTAACCCCTTTCTAATATGTTGAAACCTCCCAGTCCTGCCTCTAAGCTAAGCTAACGGGGAGCTCTTGTTCTGCCACCTCGCTTAATGCCAAGCTTGGCTGTCACGTGCAGTACTAGTGCCTCTATCGATGCCTTAACTAACACCTATCTTTTCACCACTGGATCTTTTTGCGGCACTGTACAGTACAGGCCATCATCGCGTGCGGACAGAAGCAGCCGAGAAGGCTGGGGTCGACTACACGGCCTGCGGATACAAACCAACCCTTCAGCAGCAGCAGTCAACTCTGTAATACATTCAAACGGATATTAACGCAGTTTGCACACAGTTTCACTCCAAAGAGCCTGTCATAGAGCATTTGTTTTAAAACAAAATTTCACTAATGGAATCTGTGCTGCTTTGGTTTTCAAGGCACTTTGGACTATTAGGCCTTCAGATAATGTGTATTTTAATATGACTTTGATCTGGTGCTGAATCTGATATTTGAAAGGAGAATTGAGATCCTGAGCAACGTGTAGTCTAGGCCTATTCCGCACAGGCTGTGCTGAAGCAGAACAGTCTGTTATGATGGCTGTGAGAGTGTGTGTGACCCCGCGCAGAACTTTTGAATCTCAACAAAAGGCGAGTCACTGAAAATCCTTACATAATGCATGCTGTTTCAAACAAGGCGATGTGCAGCCACTTAGCTGCTAATTATGTTGATGCTCAGTTTTGGCCCCAGCTAGTATTTGCATTAGCGTTAGCGTTACAACTCAAACAATGGCAGAATAGACAACGAAAGAGAAAACAGGGTCGTATTCAGTAAGGCATGCAACATTTTAAAATGTTTGCAACGGAAAATGGAATTGAGAGTTTCTCATTGTATAAGAGGGTCCGGCCTGCGAGGGGGTCCAATCCGTCCCGGGGGTGGTTTGAGTAAAATAACTCAATATACTTTAAAATGACTAAAACCAAATCGAAACTGTCTAGAAATGAGAATGGACCTATATTTAAACAGTTTTCTGACTGTGTCCAGCTCGCTAATAATCACCGAAATTAAAGCTAGACAGTCAGGGAGTATCGAAAATTCAAAAAACGATGGATAGAGGACTATATTTTGCCAATTTTGACGGTGTGGAAATATAACACATTTTCAGTGCTGCACTCCGGACCTCGTTGAAGACCGAATGCAGCCCCCGGGGCAAAATTTGTTTGACACCCCTGATGAATACGACCCAGAAACAAAGACAAAACATGGAGTCATATACTAGTGTCTGAATAAATGAGGAAAAGTATACTTCTAGTTAAATACACTTTGCACGCGCAATCATAATATTTGTGTGGCAGTGTCCTTGTGGTTTGAACAGAAGTTACTTTGCGTATAGGTTATATACATACTGTTGCTACTGCTGCACCCAAAACCTCATGATTATTCAACGTATAGTCCTCTCAAGAAAGAATGAGAGAGTTGAGGGAGACTACAAGACAAAGTAAGCAAATTGAGATTCTCTTTAGGAGTTTGCACAGCTATAGAGAATACAAAGCATTTATCTATCCACAAAATATCTATGTAGAGGGTTAATAAATTATATTTTTTAGAATTCTCACCTATTCTTCCTGTCTTACAGTTGCTATGATCATTTACAGTACATTGGTGTATATTGGTGCTCTACAAACTCTGTACTTGGATATGACAGGTCTATAACAGTTTACCACACATTTGTAGCTTGTACATTTACAGTATATGAAATGATAACCATCTGCAAAAAAGTACACATCCTTCATCTGAGCCAATAAAGTAAAAAATATAAACCCCTATTTCTCTTCCACTGGTTCCTAAACCTATTCCCTAACGGCATATCTTGGCTTTTCATTTGTAATTACAGTCTGTGGTATTTGATTGATAAATGTAACTGTTGTACATTATTCTTCTTCTCTGGTTGGAAAACAAAGCATGTCTGTTGTGTGTCTCCGGTCAGTTCATGAAAGACGCTCATAACTCTCTACTGTCTGTCCAATGATGCTCTCTCACTGTGGAGGTCAAGCTTTTATGCCTCGTTCCAAATGGCACCCAAAATCAGGGATTTTGGAGATTTTCGTTTTTGGTCAAAAAAGACTGTAAAATGACCAGGAATTCAGCAAAAAATGTATTTACTTTAGGAAAACTGTTCCCAAGTATTCCCACAAATAGAAAAAGAGACGTGATCGTATCTCAATGTAATCAATATATTAAATAATTGTTATTTTCAAATACAATCTCTGTTTGGGCTTAGTTGTGGTCAATTTGCAGTTTACAAATTACTATAATTATGTTCCGGCCCCCCAAAAATCGTCCCGTGGCTTAATCTATTTGCCTACCCATGCCCTACATAGTGCACTTATTTTGATTTGTCAAAAGTAGTGCACTAAATAGGGGATAGGGTGCCATTTGGGAGGCAACTTTTGTGTCTCGCCAAGGCGGTTTTGAGTGACAGCCCCCTGAAAGGGATTCCAGTGTATGACTTTTATTTGGAAAGACACCTCTGTATTAGAACCATATAAAACTGTCATATTTGATGTGGGACTGTTTATGGCTAGACCTGTTTATGAGTTTCTGCTTTGGGCTCGGAGACTCTGGGAAGAGCAGGGCGGTCACTATACAAGTGTACTGTATGTACTTTAACAGTGAGTGTCTGTCTATAGTTCCGCAGTTAAAGTAAATACTCTATATTCACGATTTTTCTATGCATATATCCATTACTATTTTTGCACTGACCTATGGATGGACAGCTGGATTTTATTTTTTCACAAAGGGTGCTATTATAATGGAGGCCTTCTCCCGGACAACACCTTTTTGCATGACCTGCTTAATATTCCCCCCTATGACGGATCTATGACTATGAACCTCTCCTCCTCTATTCTTAAACAGTTGTGGTTTAAGCACTGTAATTTTGTAATCCCTTCCCTACTTGTAAGGTTTGAAATAAACCGAGGCTAAAAGATTGATCTGGGGTTACGTGTGTTTTTGCTTCTGTAAAGATGTTTCCATGTCTTCTTCCTTTTGATTCTATTTCCTGGTTGCATTGACTGTAAGCACACACATTTTTTGGTAAATATGTTATTGTTATGTACATTATAACCCAGCAACAACAATAACAACAACAGTTTCACCACAGTGTAACACCACCACACCTTCCATAAAGAGTGGCACTTTTCCAGTTATCCCAGCCTCCTGAAATGCAAATAGCCACGTTGCCACTGCACCGAAGCAGAGTTGTGAAT